CCTCAAGGCCCAATCCCTGTCTTTGGATTGCAGGTTCTTCAATGTTGGCCCTGAGCTTACCAAGACCCTTCAGGTGCCCTTGGTGGATGCACCGATGGCAGCTTTGGCCTCCACCTCTTCAGCCCCTTCTGATCCAGATGATGTCCTCAAGGCGGAGGAAAAGCCGGATCGAGCAATCGCTCCAAAGGTCTCACCAGGCGGCTGCCTGAGCAGTCAAAGCTTCCATTGCAGCTTCGTTCTTCACCAGAACATCACTTAAATAGCTTAAACAGTTTCCGGACAGGATCCCAACTACAGATATCCAGGCCCATCAGGACCTCAATAAAATTGTGGCTGCAGCGGAGTTCACGGCTTATGCCACTCTTCATGGGGCTAGGTTTGCTACCAAAGCTATTGCTTCTTCAGTGGCAGCCAGACGCATGTGCTGGTTGCGCTATTGGCAGGCTGATGGAAGAAGGAAGTAGAAGCTGGCCTCTACTCCTATTTAAGAAGACAAGCTCTTTGAGGAAGCCTTGGAACCGTTCCTGGTCGAAACCAAAGATAAGAGGAAGGTGCTTCCATCCCAGTTCAAGAGAGTTGAACATCAGCCTGCTCCATACTTCAAATGCCCTATGTTTAGGGGTGAATCCAGTTCCAGCTTCCAGCGCCCAGCCAAGGCCCCTTACCAGCATCTTGAATCTCCTCCAGATCATTCAGGCAAGGATCAGGTGTGCATGCACAGAAGCACATGGCACAGGTCGCATGGGTGGTGCACGTTTGTGCAGGAGGCATGAGGGGGCTGCGCACATTGCCTTCTGGGTGATGGCATGTGAGCACGAGCAGACAAGTGCGCACGCAATTATCAGCACACGAGCCCAAAAAGGTTAGCCAACACTGCTCTGGACCAACAGGGGATGGGGTTTTACTCCAGGATATTCGTTATCCCCAAGGCCTCAGGGGATGGAGGTGGAGAACAATTCTTGACCTGAAATGACTCAATAAGTTTATTGTTTATAGGCATTTTAAAATGCATTCCCGGGCTTCCAGCTGGGTGCTGCGTTGATGCGGAGTTGAGGAGTGGATTGCCGCTCTGAAAGTCTCCAATTTTCCCTGTTTGGTGGCTTCCAGGAGCGTGTTGGACCTCGGAGGGATAGACAGATGAAAGAGGAAGACCTGGAGATCTCGGGGAGGTGCTGTGATCCCGGAGATTACAAGAGAATCCCCCAAAAACCAGCAGCAGAAGAGGGAGATCGTACAGATCGGAACCAACCTTTATTTAAAGCTAGTTATTTATGGCCTAAAATATGTGTGTGTGTGTGTGTGTGTGTAATGAAGGTTTTATATTAGAAAGGTAACAAAATAATATATAAAACAGTTGTCAACAATGGAACTTGCATTAAATGAACTCTGTTATTGAATTAGGCCAATAGCCCATCTGATTCAATATTTTGCATCTCACAGCAATTAAACACAAGCAGATTCCTGGAAATAAATTATTCTTGGTATGTGTTTTTCCCAGACCGAAAGAGAATTATTTGTACCTATTAATAACAATCTTCAAGTTAATTACATGTTCTCTATGCCATTCAGCCATTTAATTTGAACTGGCCAGCCCTATAAATCTATTCTATGAGATAAGTAAATCCTGGATTTTTTTCTTGATAATAAACATATTCTAGAGCTGTAATTATTTAGACTGCCATTTCTGGACTTTTTCATCTCTCAGCTATCCATTTTAAGGAGAGGAGATCTGAATTACACATAGTATTCCAGATATTCCCAGATTTATAAAAAGTCATTATTATTTGGGCTCTTTCCTTTTTGGTTCTCTTCCTAATAATTCCAAAAGAGTAATTCTCACAGCCTTTATATTATTTAATTTAAAAGTTTACCAATATTTAAAACTATGGATCGGAGATGATTTCCATCTTAATATGACGTAAAACAATTTTGACTTACTGAATAAATTGTACATGAAGTACTGAAGACTTGCCTCTGGCGTTTATGCATTGCAAATTTGTATAGTTACTGCAACCTCAGCAACACTTCATTGGATTAGCAAAATGCCTGATATTTGCTCCTCAGCTAGTAAATTTGAAATCTTTATAAGATACTCATATGTCCCATAACTCAGCTATTAGGGACCCAGAAATAATATTTAAAATGAGCATATTCACATTCTTTGAATGAGTCTCTTTAAATATTTTTGGAAAAGAAAAAAAAGACAAGTATGTGGATAGTTTAAATTAATGAAGGCCAATGTTCCCAAGGCTTCATACTTAAAATATATCAAATAACATATAGTACTATTTATTATCTCCCATTCGCAGTAATCTAGACATTTTCACATTCTGGAATACAGTATGATAAATTTCTGGAACCTACTTAGTACAGTCCTACTGTACCTGAACAGGAAAAAAAATGACTTAACTTCAAAGGTGTACTAGTGAATGGCTGATCCAATGAAGAAGGTAGGGATTTCTTATACTAAAGACAAATTAACTTTGTGTTTTGCAAAAGAAATAGCTTCTTCCATAGTTTGTGCTGCATAAGCACAATTCACAATTCACTCAGTTATTACTAATTTCCCTGATGTCTTAGATAACAAGGCATGGCCAGTGGTGAAATCATTGAGAAAATCTCAATCTCAATATTTCTTGAGCAGAGACTGCATGTGTAGGTGACAATGAAACACTGGGCATGGGAGGGTGCAACACAATGCTAACTTTGCCAGCTGTGCTCACCACACAGTCTGACAAATCAAAACTGCATATTTCAGATATTATATATACTTGTATGGCTAGCTGAATAAAACACAATGTTTACTAATAATACATGTGAGATATGATGTGCGTTTGTTGTTATATAAGTTTTCTTACTTAATTTTGCACACAGGCTTGATATATTACTTTGTAAAATAATTTAATGAGTTAAATAAAAGCTTTTTAGCAGCTATGTTGGAGAAACTACAAAAATGAATCAAAAAGCATTTTTGCTTATGATATTTATATATTTACATATACAACATGGCTAATACTTGAAAAAATGGTTGCCTATTATTTTATCTAAATATGGCTTCAATATCATGTAAAAAAAAAAAAAGAAAACCCAAACTTCCACCCCAATAAAAATTGTGAATGAAGGGAGTGTTCAAAGAAACATGGACAGATGAATAATTTTCTGTTGAGACAAATAATAAGGCAGTATGCTCAATTTGTAGGGAAATTATATCAGTTTTCAAAGATTACAACTTGAAAGGACATTATTTGCAAAAACATGTTGCCAAATTCGATGCATATCAAGGATTGTTTCATAAAGACAAAATAGTAGAACTGAAAAAAGTCTGTCATCTCAACAATTTTTAAAAAAATTTCAATTCAAACAGACTCTATTGTACAAGCTAATTATGTGGTAGTAAGTCTGATTGCAAAAAAAAAAAATCAAAACTATTTATTGATGATAAGTTTATTAAGCAATGCATGGAAAGCATGGCATATTGCCCTGATTTTTTAAAAAACTGGTTTTTCTAAAGTCACTTGATTTTGCCATACTATAGCCAGGTGAATTGATGAATATATTAAAAGAGCTTTGAAAAGTAAAGCTGCTAATTTTAAATTTTATCCTTTGGCAAAAGATGAAAGTACTGATGCTACCAATATGGCTCAACTTGCCATTTTTATTAGGGGTATTGATAATGAGTACAACCTCACTGAAGAAATGGCTTCTTTGGTGCCATTAAAAGACCCAACTAAATATCTTAACTTGTATAATGCAGTAAAAATTACATTAAAGTAATTTTCTTTAACTTTTGCTAACATATCTGGTATAGCTATTGTTAGCACCATAGGTATGGTTGGTAAAAAAGAGGGACTTATAAAACTGATAGAAGATGGTGCAATTGCCACCAGCAGTTGATGTTTGATGAAATATCATGGCATCATATATAAAAAGAAATTATGTGCAAAAGCTTTGAAAATGGATGTCATGCAAATTGTTATCAAAGCTGTGAATTTCATAAGATCTGAGGGACTGAATCACTGCCAATTCCATGAGTACCTTAAAAGTATGGGTGCTGGTTATGGGATATCATTTACTTTTCTGAAGTAACATAGCTAAGTCAGGGTAAAATATTGAAAAGTTTTATGATTTGCAAAATAAAATCACTTACGGAATCAAAAAGAAAATTTGTGCCTGAATTTGAAGTGGAAAAATGGCTCACAGATTTAGCATTTATGGTGGATTTGACCACTCATTTAAATGAGTTAAACGTGTTTTTAAAGTGAAAATCAACTTTGCTATTGCAAACAATAGCAGCATTCAAAATGAAAGTTAAATTATGGCTAGCTCAAGTTATGTTAAATAATCTGATACATTTTGATACATTGACAAAACACAGTCCTGTGAAAAATATGCAGCCTTGCTTTCCATTTTGATACAGGAATTTGATACTAGCTTTCAAGATTTTAAAAAAAATCTTCAATTTTTAAAAGGGAAATGGGCCCTATATATATATATATATATATATATATATATATATATTAGAAATTATATGTTAGTTTACTAGAATTCTTCTAAACTAAAGAAAATGATTTAAGATAGGAGAAATTTTGGAATGCTTTCCAAATCTCATCTGTAAATTGTGACAAACGTCTAAACTAATTCAGTAACGTAGAAAATATTTCAAAATTCCAACTAAGAGAACAGAAAATCAATCTCCCATATTTTTTTTATTTTCAAATTCAGGTGTGGCCTATATCATCTGGCTCCAAGACTAACTCTCATGCAGCACAGGCTAGAGTTAAAATGCTCTAAAATTCCTAGCTATCTAAGCGTTTACCTGGGAACAGATACTTTCCATTTTAAAATTTATTTATTTATTTATTTATTTGATTTGCCAATTGTTTACAAGATAATAAGTATAAGTGTAAAATGTATGAGAAAAGTAAAATCAGGGTTTCACAGGAAATTATTTCACCAGCTGCAAACAAACTATCTTAATATAAACTAAACCGAGTTCTTACCTGCCACCGTCCATAACTGAGTAGAAATAATGACAGGGGAATAGCCGTGCCTGCCATGGCGTGAGTTGAGGGCATGCTGTATTCAGAATTGTAGAAAACCTCCAGCTTCACTACTGGGGGAGAAGCAGGCCTTGGCCAACGGATAATATCCTTGGTGCACTGGCCCAAAAACATGTTCCAAACCCAAATGATGATGAGTCTCCTGCCCAGCCAAGCATCCACATTCCAGATGCAGAAGGAGAAAAAAATGGTGTAGAAAAGTTCATTGCCCAGTTCTGTGCCAAAGCTGAAGAGGTAATAAAGGAAAAAATTACGGATTCTGAACTTCTGCAATATGGTTTCTCCAGTTAGAGAGTTGCGGCGAGGGTGGCTTTTTGAGACCCATTTCTTCCGCTTTTCCAGGGATGCTGGCTGCGATCCCACCCCACAGGTGTCTTCAGAAACCATCCCATTCTTCCTACCATTTGAGTGGCTCTCGTCCCGTTTCTCCTCCGCGTTGGAAGAGTCTGGGGACACGTGCCACCTGCCACTTTCACCCTGGGTCTTGGCAGCGGTGCAGGTCCCGTTGGCCAAGGGGTGCTCTGTGTCCACCGTCTGAGCAGGGGAGACAGACCTCCAGTCTGGTGGTGCTTCTACACCACAGAGTTTTTGGAAACTGGCAACTTTCTCGGCATCCTGCAGGTAACAAATCAGGCGATGGAGCAGGGACATGCTAGTTCTTCTGTCAGAGGGCAACTCAAGGAGGTAAATCCGAACTCCAGGATGGAAAGAAAGAAAAAGAAAGAAAGAAAGAAAGAAAGAAAGAAAGAAAGAAAGAAAGAAAGAAAGAAAGAAAGAAAGAAAGGGGGGGGGAGATATCTGGAGGTACTTAAGGGCAATTTTCTGTTTTCAGCAGAGCGGAATTTGTTTTTTTAAAGTGAGAAACGGCTTGCAAAACAAGGGGAGCCGCTTCAGCAGATGACCCAGGCACCGACCTGTGGGCGCAGGGAGGGAGCTAGGGCAGCAGGTACGACTTCATAAGGCACGCTGTGAAGGACACAAACCTTGCTGCCTGGAGAAGGGAAGGAGAAAGAAACAACGGGAGTAGTATATGGGGTTGAAGAGGAGGAGCTTCGGGAGAGGGAGGAGAAAGCGAAGCGAAACGGGGGAGGGGGACCCCGAACTCAAGCTAAATTGCAGCCCAGAAAGACCCAAGAGAGGAGGAGGAGGAGGTTGCGTTAACCCGTTGGGACGCGAAGCTGCTGAGAATGGGTTCACCTCCACAAACAGAGGAAGCGAGCTGACGGGCGGATAAAGAACAGCTCCGGATGGGAAATCACGATCCTCCGAAAAAAAGGCGGCGTCAATCAGGCGCTCAGCCAGTCCACCCGGCCGCCATTCAGCCTTAACATCCCCACACGCAGCCTCTCCCCGCTCTTCGCTGCTCCGCGCAGCGCCAATTCCATGTAAATCCCGCCTGCGCCTGTGGCTGCCCTTAATGAGCTGGGGGCGCGCGCGCACGCGCGATTAATCCCTATCCGAAGAATCCGCTGCGCGCGGCCGCGCACGCCAGACATGAACGTGCGCGGGCTGGCGGAGGGGGAAGGAGAGGGGTCGCTGACGACCGGGTGTTCCCTCCCGTAAGTTGCTACTTAGTCGAATTTGTATCCCACCTGGTGACGCTTCTCTAAGGCATCTAATAAAAGCCCACCAAACTAGATAATCACTATATTAAAGCGAGTACACACCCCATAAATCACACTGTGCAGTTTACAATACCAGCCTATTTCTGGAGCTGACAACTGTATGCCTCCTTTGGACCGTAGAGATTCAGCTTCTCACCTCGGAGCTCTTTTTTTAAATATAGATTTATCGTAATTTTATTGAACATTACAGTTTAATGTAATGTACTAGATATGAACCAGTACAAAAAAACAAAACAAAAAATAGTAGAGAAAAGAAAGAAAATAATAGAAAAGAAAGGGGAAAATATAGTAAAGAAGAAGAAATAAGTCATAACAAGTATAAATTTAGCAATAGCACTTATACACTGCCCCACAGTGCTTTACAGTATTCTCTGGGTGGTTTACAATATCAGCTTATTGTCCCCAATAATCTGGGTCCTCATTTTACCAACCTCTGAAGGATGGAAGGCTGAGTCAACCTTGAGCTACATCAGGATCGAGCTCCAGGCTATGGGCAGTTTGCCTCAATATTGCACTGTGCCACCAGGGCTCATTTTAATAACTTACTTGATTCGTAAGTTATTAAAGAACTTGATTCCTTGACATTTTTTCGTTGTTCTCATAAAATTCTTCAAAACATTATTAAGTATCTTTTAACTCCAATATAAGAAAATTATCCAGCTCACTCTTTTTGTTAAAATATCAGCCAGTTTCATTTGTAGATGCAGTGTAACCTCTTGTTCCAGATCTTCCCATAGTCTGTAATTTTTAAATCCACTTTCAAACCAGTCTCAGATCTATCTGGTAAAATTATCTTTAATATTTTCTACGCTCAGTCTTTTTATAATGGCATATGCTTCCAAAATTATCTTGCGGATCCCTTAATCATGACTATCCTTCAATACATTATTTAGCCTCATTCTGTATTAATAAGATTAAATCTTCTTCTCCTTAATTATAACCTTTAGTTCCTTCTGGTTCCTTCTAGTATCAAAGCTTCAAAATCTTACATTTCTTACATATTTTAAGTATTCAAAACAGCAGTATGTTCCCACAGGAAGGATTCTTATAATTATTTTCAAAATCTGATTTCAAAAATAAATAAATTTTAAAGGCATAAAAAACTGCAATCAGAAAACAGTGTAAAGCACTGGATATGGTTTCACATAGAAAATTAAACCTCATTTTGCTGGGATAAATTATAGCTTTATTATTATATGCAATATGGAGACATATACTGTATATATTTAAATATATGTATAAAACTAACCAGCAAAGTCGTTGTGTGTGAATTACTGGGCAATTTCTGCCTCTGGAGAGAAGCACCTATTATCCACTGTCTCCTATATGCTACCATATCCCTTATAGTATAGAAATTTTAGGATTTTTTAAATTAAAAGCTGCTTAAAGAACCTTGTTGAAAAGCAAATTACAATTAATAGCATATATGGAATGTTTTTGAATAATCACTAAAGTACCACATGTATCATATTAATTACAAAAACTACTGAAAACCCTGTGACATACTTTGAGTCTTTGAGATTATCTGAAAAGGAAAAAAATAACCCTAAGAAGCAGCCCAAAATCTCTCCAGAATTAATCAATTTCAGATTGTGATTGACTGTGATTGAGAGACAGAGGAGAGATTTGAGAGTTGCCAGGAGCCTTATCAGAAGCTAGTTTCTAAATGGAGAATGCTTTCATTCCCAATTCCTAATGCGTATTGAGTCATCTACTTCAAAGTTAAAGGATAAATGCAGCAGCCAATCAAGAAACAGTCCTTTTGCTCAGCAGTAGCTATGTTTCCTTAGTCATCAGAATTATGTTATAACAGATTCTGCCAAAGTAGTACTCAACAGATAACATGTATTTTCCAGGCCTGAAAATGCAAAGTTCATTTCTGATAAACAATAGTGATCAAAGTTCTGTTTTACACTGGCCTAGAGGTACTACATTTGGATAGCATCTCTCTCTCTCTGTCTCTGTCTCTGTCTCTCTGTCTCTCTCTCTCTCTCTCTGCAAACATTACGAGCTCCAGAAGTGTAAAAAGATATTTGCCATATCATGTTTGCTACTGGTCTTGTCAGTATCTTGTAATTTGATTAAAAGCAGCTCTCTGAAGCTTTCAGTTACAGCACAATATATTTTCCATACAATTTCTTTCTGTCTTTTCTACCTCAGTGCCTACACTACATACAGGCCAGGTTCATGTTTCATGCTTAGCCACTAGCGATTATTTTGATTTTGGCTTATTGTCTAATATAAAAATAAGACATTTAAATTGAACTCAATTCCTGGTGAATACCTGGATATAGCAATAACCATAGCAAACAATGATGGCACAAAAATACAAATCCATATGTAGTGATGTCATCACTCAAATGTCACTTTAATGTACTTTTGTCATGTTGTCATATCATTTTGGGTAATGATGTCCTGCCAGGTCAGAAAAGGTGGACACACTCCTACCCCTTTCCCCTAAATTTTGCCATCTGATCGGAGTGAAAAAGTGAGCCTTTTCCATGGCAACCTCTGCCCTATGGAACACTCTGCTCCCAAAGTTTGGCAGGTTTCTGCCCTCTTAGATTTTCATAGAGCTATGAAGAGTATTTGTCTTTGCCCTCAAGCACCGGGATAAGATTGGGTAATTACACATTAAAAGTATGACTTGGCACCAGGTCCTTGTTGTGTTTAATGTTTAAATATTTTAGTTCATTTAGTTTTATGGTTTTAATACAATTTTATATGTTGTTTTAACTTTAGATTGAGAGCCGCCCAGTTTTAACCTTGGATTGGAAGATGGGAGACTATATAAATGTTTTAAGCAAGCAAACAAATAAATGAGGCAGTCTCACACATTTTGTGCTTTGTTGTCTTGTCTGACAAATCCCACGCACAGGCATATCCACTCAGTTTTTGTGGTCATGGTAAACCTGTGGTTTGCCACTCCTTTCTTCCAAATATTTTCTTGGTTGGCAGACTTGGTATTTCCTAATAGTTCCTGTTCAAATATTAACCCATTTAGCTTTTGAGTCTAGAACAGATTAGCGAAGTGTTGCTGATTATAAATCACTTCTTATGATGTATAGGTAGTCCTTGACTTACAACAGTTTGTTTAGTGACCATTTGAAGTTACAATGGCACTGAAAAAGCAACTTATGACCATTTTTCACACTTATGACCATTGTAGCATCCCCATGGTCAGGTGATTTACATTTTGGATACTTGACAAGTGGTTCAGATTTATGACAGTTGCGGTGTTCCAGGATCATGGGATCCCCTTTTATGACCTGACAAGCAAAGTCAACTTAACCACCATGTCATTAACTTAACCACCATGTTATTAACTTAACATCTGCAATGATTCACTTAACCAGTGGCAAGAAAGGTCATAAAATGAGGTAAAATACATGTAACAAATTTCTCACTTAACAACATACATTTTGAGGTCAATTGTGGTCATAAGTTGAGGACTACCTGTATTCGGCAAACCATGGCTTAATGGAAAGTGTGAAGCCAGCCTTGACATCAAGGTTGATTAAATTCAGAGGTGGGATGCTACCGGTTCTGCCTGGTTCTAAAGAACCAGGTAGCTCTGAAGAGCAGCAGACACCAAACCGGTTCTGTGTTTGCTGCTGTTTGGCCCACCTACCCGCCCATCTGGGCTCTTACCTGTCCTTTATTTCCTGCTTTTTCAACCTCAGCTGCTTTGCGCGGCACAGCTGAGGTTGAAAAAACAGGAAAAAAAGAGGCTTTACAAATGCTGCGCACCTGTGCGCAGCACTTTTCAGCTGTTTGGGCAGCACAGCTTAAGGGTTTTTTACACTCGTGCACAGCAAAACGCTAGTCACCAAACATTGGTTGAATTCCACCCCTGATTAAATTATTATAACATTTAATACCAAGCATCCCATAAGTACCTTACTTCTTATTGAGTCTCAAGTGCAGCGAAACACTTTTTGCTACTGCCCTTTAAGGGCCTTGTAAAATTGATTCCAGAAGCTCAGTCACTTTCAAATGAACAGTATTAGTTTCCATTCTTGGTTTCTAAAAATGCTCAGTTCCCTTGGGTACCTTTGAATGCCCAAGAGTTTTGCCCAGTTGTTGTAAACTAGATTTTAAGCATCCATCTCTCCTCACAGCTTTGTCTAAT